ATCATTTTATGATTCTAAGATTGATTGCTTGTGAAAGCAGGATAGTTTACGGCAGACCTCACTGTTAAAGCATCCATCATAAACTTCCTTAGTTAGAGCATAGGTAATCCTAATATGCAGTTTTTCCAGACTTAAAATGTTTACCTCAAAATAGAAACCTTCAATAGATTTATTTTGTCAACTGAACATCCTGTTGCTCCTTATGATTTTTGTCTTAATTAAATTTTTTTTTCTGATATACCTAATAAGTTTTACTTAGAAATATTAATGTTTATGTGATATATAGCATACTTCTGCAAATGCTTCCTATGCTAAGAAATGATAGTGCTGAGTGAATTCGCTTGTTCAATCTGAGATATTTGTAATGATTGAAGGGGAACCATTACCCAGTCACTGGTCATTTGTTATATGCGATAAATGTTTTCTGCATGAACAGTTGAAATACATTTGCGTCAACCTCCATTGACTGCTAACTATATGTACTTATGTGATCTAGATACTGGATGACGGCTGTTTTGCTTGTTTTTGTAGTCAAGCTCAACAACATTGTACGCGGTTTGACTCCCACACACAGCCTTAGAGAACCGAATTAGTTCAAGTCAGCCCAAATTTGATTTTATGGATTACACGTAGCTGCTAGCTAACCATAATTTGAGTAGTTTGAACTAATTCATTTCTGAGATGAGTCACACTTGGTACACCGATGATGATGATGATGATGAGCTTGACCACACAAATAAGCGAAATGACCGTTAGGCGTTAAGATCACTTCACTCTGGTTATGTGTAGGCACTAGCGGTTGTTGTAAGTGGTTTTCCAACTATTCATATCAACGATACCATACCATCATACAGTTATACCTGATGTCTTATTTTGCCACTCTTGGATGGAATCAAGAAAGTGGTGTGGAGAAGTGGGTTTTGAAAGGAAACTGTGGAATTGGCAAACTGCTAATTTGATTATGAATAAACAATTTTTTAATCAGTGCTTACACTATATAGCTAAATATTACATTGGAGTGTGCAGCTTTCAATTATTATGTATCATATATGCAATATTGTATCACTGTTATTTGTTCTTGAGCAAACATCAATTAATATTTCTTGATGATGTCATTCTTAACTTTTGTATGGTAATACTAAATTTGTTCACTTATACTTAACACTACTGCTATTTATTATTATTATTGTTTGTAATGAACGATTATTACAATCCCATTATGTTGTAATATTTCAACCTAGAGATAATGTCACGTGAGTAGTGGTGTTGTTACTCTCACTCTCTCTCTGTCTCTCACCCACTCATATTTAACTAGATTGATTGATTGTTAACATACACTACGGTTGTTTTGTTTTATTTTTGTCTTTCTACGATATTCCGTCTTTGTAAACTCATTTGTTAACGCCTAACCATTTATTTATTTTAACCTAACCAGTACACAAAAGTTGTTAAGTTAGTCTATGTGCTGTTGGTTTCGTCTGCACTGAACAACACACTGTTAACAATGTATTTAATTTGCTAAATTTTCATTGGTTTACTGTTTCACACATGACACTAATATACAGTTACTACTACTACTATTACTATTGAGAAAACAAAATAGAGTAGCCTTCTACTTTATGAATATTTATATACATCTCAGTATCACTCGATAAAGTCTCATCATCTCTAAATCTCACAATCCGGTTTCAAATATTATGTCGTGCAAATGAGATAAAGTTGTTTTTTTTCGTTTTATATCACCTGGTTGATTTGGAATTAGTTGTGTTCTCCGAGCTGGTTGGTTTTAATTCCAAAGCTTTCGTTGTCCTTCTGGACGACGTCTTCAGAGCAAGTTTCAGCATAAAATGAACTGATTCGAATTCTCCATGAATGATAGAATTGTGTCTCCTGACGACTATCTTCGTGAGTGGTAGTCAGTTTACATCTTTATTGATCATTTTTTTATTGACTTGAAATTTGAACCTTCTTGTCATTTCGACATTATCCAAATCGAAATTTTTAATAGAGGAAATACCCAAAGTGCTAGGGAATTCCTAGAAGCCTGGTACTGTGCTCAAGTGAATTAGTGATTAACAAACATATTAATATTGACCAAATTTATCAGCTAATAAAAGGTAAATCACGTGATGAGGAAGTTCAAAATCCAAGTCAATAAAAAAGTTGATCGGTACAGATGTAAATTGACTACTACCAGTCACAAAGATGGTCGCTAGGAGACAGAATTCTATCATTCGTGGAGAATTCAAATCAGTTCATTTTATGCTAAAACTTGCTCTAAAGATGTTGTCCAGAAGGACGACGAAAGATTTGCAGTTAAACCAACCAGCTCAGAGAACACAATTAATTCCAAATCATCCATTTGAGCTATAAATCTCTATTATTTGACAGATCTCCTTGGTTAGCTGTGGTAATTCCACAGACATGATACTATTGAAAGACTGATATAGTGATGAGACTGTTTGAATATTTTTTTGTGTTCAACATTTGGTACACTTATCTAACAATGTTTATCAATGTATGCTTGCAGTCAAGATTGTATCTCTGATTATATCTCATTTCATTTAACTCAGCTAAAATAAGGAATTTTAATTTATCTTAAATAATTAAGTTTGAAGAATTTCGTGCACCAAAATCACCCTCGTAGGGAATTAGTTGAGAACTTGTTGTCTTTTATTAGTCGATTCTCTGAGTATGGAATTCGAGGCTCTTTTCGAGAAGGATCCATAATATTCTACATTATCAGTATAGTTTGATTGACTGACTTAGTAGATTGATGCCATGTTTTGGTTTGACTCACCCCTAATTCTTCCAACCTAATCGTATATCAGCTAACATCGCCCGTCGAGGAAGGCGATTGCTCGACATATACCACATGTGTCCTAATCATTTCAATCAATGCTGTTTCACAACCCTATCCATCCGCTTACCCCCACCCTCTTACCCAACTGTACGTCTTACCTCAATATTACTAACCAAGTGTTACTAATTAAGACAGGAAATCCTTGTGCTTAATAAAGTTTGGTGTGTTTAGAAAAGTACTTACTCACTATTATCGTATGTTATCATCATTGTCTGTCATTACTATTGTTAAGGTGATTAGTTAAGTATGCTTTTTTTCAGTCTAAAGTATTTTTGTACACTAATCTTCTTCCACTTTTCTAATGTTCTTTGGTGGTTGTTCTTTTTGTTGGTTTGTTTGTTTTTTTCTTCACGATAACATTCACAAAATTGTTTTATTTACAATATCTCAACAACTATACTAAATACTTAAAATCGTTTCATGTATGCAACAACAATCGCTTTTTTTTATTGGTTAATAGTGCGCCTTTTTCATTTCACTTGAAGTCTCCTGTTTACTGTTCATTTCATGTTCATAGAACTGTGTGTGTGTGTGTGTGGATTTGTTTTTACACTTAACTAACACCAACTGCACACTTTTCTATTGGGAATAGTTATTTTGTTTTTCTAATGCCTTCACTATTATACAAAGCTTTTGTTGGATGGATTTTTATACATCATCATTAGGCAATTAACTCATCACTAAATATACCAAATGCCAGTATTTCTGCTTAACGCATTCACAGTCAATGCACTACCAGAACAGTTCATCTTTAAAAGAATAAGTCATATCCTAGTCAATAGTGGTCATCAGCAGAGAATCCAAGATATTGTTGGGTTCTGACCCTATCACGAATACAGTAACTCACTGGGATGATCTTCCTGATTGCAGTAGATTGGATAATGCGATAGATAACGGCAACCAACGAGGGAACAGGCATAAAATGGACCCACGCAAAAAACTTGGAGGATATTGACTTTGACTATGATGATATATGTCTGATTTCCCACAAACTGGAAGATATGCAAGTGAATAGCAACAAGTTGGCAGAAGAAGCATCAAAGATAGGACTTCAAGTGAACATAGATAAAACACAGGTGATGAAGATTCCTAGCCAACATCAACAGCAACAACAACAACAACAGACAGCAATCAGCCAGCATAAATGGGAGGAACCTAAAAGAAATAGCCTCCTTCACCTACCTGGGAAGCATCGTCTCAACTACAGGCGGAACTAACGAGGATATCAAAGCCAGAATCGAAAAAGCAAGACAAACTTTCATTACTCTCAAATCTGTGTGGAGGTCAACATCACTCATCATCAAAAATAAGATCCAGATTTTCAACTCTAATGTTAAGTCAGTGCTACTATACGAATCAGAGACTTGGCGCGTCATAAAGAGCATCTCAAACAAACTTCAGACCTTCATTAACAGCTGTCTTCGCTCAATACTCAAGATCAGATGGCCAGGCAGAAAAGATCAGCAACATGGATTTCTGGCAATGAGCCGACGAAACAAGCAGGAACCGATTGTGAAACAAATAGGCAGGAAGAAATGGAGATGGACCGGCCATACTCTGAGAAAATAAACCATCAAGTGACATCCCTAGACAAGCCATTGCTCGAGTGGAACCCGAAAGGGAAGCGGCGAGATGGTCGTCAGTGCAAGGGTGACTTGGAGGAGGTCATGTGAGGAGGAGATGAAAACATGTGGGCTGACTTGGAACGGAGTGAAAATGTTGGCAGTAAACAGAAGGCAATGGAGACGCGCGGCTGAAGCTCTATGTTCCTCTAGGAATTAAAGGATATAATAATAATGTTGTCTGAATAACGTCAAGTTAATCTTAAGGCATTTTCGAAGTGTTTCTACCATTAACGCTGATATGTTATCAGAATTCAAGTAGTTTGGTGTAGAAGAGGAGTACAATAAAAACTAACAAGAAATTCATAATTATGACTATAAAACATTTATTTTTTGTTGATGAAGTTATCTTTAACACAGTGTGAAAACACAATGTGCGTGTGTGTTTCCGTTTTACCTAGAATTACTTTCTAGTATATGTCTTCTGATTTGGTTAGTGTTGTTTTTTTTTCAAAGTAAACTCCGTCATCATCAGTTATGTTCAATTATTTTCTCTTCTTCTTCGCATATTTAAGCTATGAACAAAGAAAAACATGTATGTTGAAGTTAATTAAACTATTACGTGATGGTGTTATCAGTAATTGGGATGAATATTTCAAGCCAACGCTGTTAATTTTACTCGAAACATTGGGTGATGATGGTGTAAGTTGTTGTATATTATCTATATTCTGATATATATCTGCATTCAATCATTTTTATTACTTCGGATAGAATTTCCTAAATATTAATAATAATAATTTCATTTTTTTGTTTATATGAAAAAGTTTTTATTTCACTGTACACCTATTCATTTTCATTTTATTTTCTTGAAGCATGAGACGAGAGCACTTGCTCTCCGTGTACTTCAAGAATTAGTACGAGCTAAACCTGATCTATTTCACGATTTTGCATATTTATTTGTCATCAAAGTCCTTGAAGCTTGTCGGGACAGTGAAAAATCTGTAAGTTTAAATCTGCTTCATGCTTCATACCATATATTATCCTTTTTACATATTCGTTTCGTTTGGTGATGTCATGCATACATATATTCTACTTTATAAGTAGTAGTAGTAGTAGTAGTAGTAGTAGTAGTTTTTTACTAACCTATTAAACCTCTCAAATATTTGTAGTTCTTCCGTTATAAGTCTTATGTTGATATAAGTATAAAACTTGGGCACTATGGTAGAGTAAAACTCCATTATAGATATGATTTTGTTTTGATAAATCACACAGTGTTATACAGTAATATTAACTGATGACCACGTTTCGAGCACAAACTATTGCTCATAATCATATCAAGGCAGTCACACAACTTTTTACTTCATTTATATACATGAGTGGAATTGATTAGACGTTTGAATAAAAATCAATACGGGATAATGTACATTCAGAAATAATAATATGAGTGTTATCAGTCAAATACAATCGGATGGGAAATAAGACGAGTGTTTTTATAGTCAAAATAAGTAACTTGTTAGAATGTTATAATGTACGTGAATTGAAATAAAATACATTGTAAGATTATTAATTATCCTCCTCTGATTTGACAAGCTTTGTAGGCTTAAAAGCCCCGATGCATCCAATTAGACAAAATAATATAATTTACAAAATACCTTGCAATGACTGCGAGTTAAGTCAACTACATGGGTCAGTCAAACTAGTAGATCGGGAGCAGTGAGATTATCAGAACACTGTAAGGATTTAGCCAAGGTTAGAATGATTGATCCCTCCTGAGAAGATAAGTAATTTTTAAAAAGCTCAGCGATTGCACTGCATGCATAAACACACAATCACCCAATAGGGTGGGTGGGACAGGGTTAGAATTCTAAAAAGTAATATAGATAGTTGGAGAGAGAGGTGGCTGATTACTGAATTCTAGCTCATCGAGTCTACACCGAAGACATGCAATCGAAGTGACTCAATGCAAATACCAGATATATGTGAAAGATATTATTACCACCAGTCAAATCAGAGAAGGATAATAAATAATCTTAAAATTCTATTTCAGTTAACATACATTCTAACAAGTTACTTATTTATTTTAGTATAAAAACATTTTATTTCCCACCCGATTGTATTTGATCAATAACACTCATATTATTATTTCTGAATGTACATTATCTCATACTGATTTTTATTCAAATGTCTAATCAATTCCACTCATGTATATAAATGAAGTAAAAAGCTGCGTGAGTGACTTCATATGATTACAAGCAATAGTTTGTGCTTGAAACGTGATCAGTTAATCTTATTTTGAGGTTTTGGTGTTTTATTGACGAGTGAAATATGATTATCAGGAAAATTACACGTCCACTTTGTGCTCTTATTATCTATATAATGGTTACTGTTATTCACTTGACAGTGAATTTCAGTGGAATCCAAGATACTTATTCCGTGCGTTTTTGGACTCGTTAGTTGTATTTCCAGTGAGTGATGTATGAAATAAACTCTGCGATTTTGAGGCTAGCAACTTCACCCCGTAAAGGAAAATACTGCTACTGAAACTTCAAAGCTTTGGCCTGCGAAACGCAAAGGAATAAAAAATATGTTTAACAATCATTTTTTTGAGCTTAATGTTGGGAAATAGTTGAATTGATTTTCTCCATAAATGTTTTGTTGGGTCACTGAAGTCAATCCACACATAGAAATCGATATTTCACCTTATAAATTATTTAAAGCCTTATGGATATTGGTTTGTTTCTCCTATATCTTTCTTAAACAAACTTTTACTTTAATTCACGCAGTCAATCGTTTATGTGTTCTTAAGTATGTATACATTGGTATTTTCCTGATTATTTTTCAGTACTTAATGCATTACTGAATCTGCCTATTTGATGACTTTCAGAATATTTCCACTCCGGCTTCTCCTAATTGTCTGCCATCATGTAAGCCGTTACTTCACCGTGAACAGTGGTGGTGACAAAGGCAAAGAGATGGAAAACATTGGCGATAGGCAACACTAGGCAACTCTTTAGACTCATCACAGAATCGGGGGGAAAGGCAATTCATAAGTGAGACTATTTCTGAGAAAAATGGCTCCTTAATTAGCTCTCAGGATAGACGCCTTGAACGCTGGAAAGAACACTTTGAGGAACAATTTAACTTGCCTACAGCCACACTGAACCTCCCCGCCATCCACCACGTACCCGAATGGGATATAGACACTGGTCCGCCGTCTGTAGGTGAGGTTACAAAAGCTATCAGTAATTTGAAACGAGGCAAAGCGGCAGGACCCGACGGAATTATTCCGGAGGTGTTTAAATATGGGGGTGACATACTAGTTTGTAGATTAACTGAGGTACTAGGCAAAGTCTGGGAATCAGAGACAGTACCATCAGACTGGGGTAAGTCACTTATTATACCGATATTCAAGAAGGGAAACAAGTCCTCGTGTGATAATCATAGGGGGATCAGCCTAACGAACATAGTCTCTAAAATCCTAGGCTCAGTAATCATGCATAGACTAAGCAGAACTCGGGAGGAACAGACAAGGGAAAATCAAGCAGGCTTTAGACCAGGTAGAGGGTGCATAGATCATATCTTCACTCTTCGACAGATTCTAGAACATAGACACACTTTTCGGCGTCCAACAATTGTCATATTTCTTGACTTGAAGGCGGCCTTCGACTCCGTGGACCGAAAAGTACTATGGCAATGTCTGACTGTGAAGGGAGTGCCAAGAAAGTACATTGCACTAATCAAGGCACTCTATTCAAACTCACGTAGTCGTGTAAGGGCTTATGGGGAATTGTCATCTGAATTAGTAACAACCAGTGGTGTCCGACAGGGATGTCCACTTTCCCCATTTCTGTTTAACTTCATCATAGATATGCTAATGGAAGTATCCTTAACTGAACGTAGTGACTTAGGAATCGACTTGTTACCAGGGAATAATCTAATGGACTTAGAATATGCAGATGACATAGTCCTGTTAGGGGAGGATGCTGACAAAATGCAGAGTCTTCTGAACACCTTGAGCAGCAATCTTCGTATGTTTGGCATGCGATTCGCCCCTGCAAAATGTAAGATGCTGCTACAGGACTGGACGACGTCAACCCTAAACTTAGTGATAGGGAGTGAAGTGATAGAACATGTTGACCACTTCACCTACTTGGGAAGTTGTATTAGCACCAACGGACTGATTGGCGATGAAATCTCAGCACGGATCCGAAAAGCTCGAGCTGCTTTCGCTGACTTACACCATCTCTGGCGTAGGCGTGACATCCGGTTATCAACCAAGGGACGTGTGTACTGCTCATCAGTTCGCTCCGTCCTTCTCTATGGCTCTGAAACATGGCCAATACGCGTTGAAGACATGAAAAGGTTGACTGCTTTCGATCATAGATGTCTGCGATCTCTGTCTCACGTTAGGTGGTTTCACAAGATAAGTAATGTTGACGTTAGGCGTAGAGTGTTGGGCAAAGAGGGAAAATCAATCGACGAGGTTATAAAGTTACATAGACTAAGATGGCTAGGTCACGTGGTGCGCATGCCTAACCACCGCCTCCCCCGACGGGCATTGCTAGCTGATATAGGTTCAGGTTGGAAAAGAGCCAGTGGTGGCCAAACAAAAACATGGCATCAATCCATGAAATCCTTGACAGTTAAACTGAGTCAGGTAGGGAGATGCAGACTCCCGGGTTGGGGCCCTCGGGACTCTAGGAATCAATGGCTGGAGACAATAGGTGACATGGCTCAAAATCGTTGTCAATGGCGCAGATGTATTCAATCTCTGTAATCTTTCATATTCCTTTCTACCATTACCCATTCTGTTTCACTCTTATATTTGTCAAACTCTATTAATTCTCTTCACTCATCTTCTTGTCTACCTCTGTGTGCTATTTGGAACGTGGCAACTCGAACTGCTGCACTTCGGTGCCAAGTTCTATGTTGAATCCAGACAGACTTCACCTGATCGACAAGGTAGAAAAAAATGAAATAAATTCATTTAGACAGTAGGAGTGGGGAAGATTTCTTTTTATTCTCCACCTTTGCCCGTGTGTAGAAGACGAGTCCGAATTCTGTTTTAATGCTTTGATGGAATCCGATAGTCAATAAAGCGCTTATCCTGTACGCTTGGTGATCACTATCAATCAAATGCGACAAAATGGAGCTCCTTACAGATTTTATTTCACCATGTCTGAACAATGAAGAGGAGGTTTTCAGCAATGCTGCCTAGTTGTTCGTCCTTTATAAGCATCTCCACAGAAGCATCTATATCTGATTAGAGTTGAGAGACATCCATTGAATATCTCTTGTCCACTGGTTGATATATATATATTCATTTTAAGGAAGTTCATGAGAAAATGAAACTACTGTTTAACACTAACCACTGTGCAATAATTTCTTGTACCCCCAATACTTCGATAAAAATGAGTTTAAGCTTGCCGGTGTTTTTCCATAGATTTCCAAAGTTATTTAACATTATCAATGTGAACCAATCAACCTAACGACTTCAGAGTGTACCGTTATTTTCCCTCTATGTATTTAAAGGGTTAAAGAATGGATGAACGTTCATCAGGAGAATGCTGGCTAACCACACACCTGGTCAGGGTTCGATTCCCGGTCGATACTCTTCTGAACCTTGCTTAGTCGGTAGTAAACCTGCTAAATGGGGTAAGGTCGTGCGTGAGGTTAGCAACCCTGTCCAGTAAGGGAACTACCAGTAAGGCAAGGTTGAAACCCTATATTCCACTCAAAATGCTAAGGAATGTAAAAAGCGGAACAGACGATGTCCTTCTGTTTTTAAAGAGCCATTGTTTTTGTCTCTGTTCTAGTTTAAACTATCCTGTGGTACCTCACTTAATATTTTATCGATGCCAAATTAGTTGATTAAACATAATATTGTGGTATATAAGGTTATGGCTATCAAGGTATATTCGATATCCTATTATTTCCTTCGAATAATGAATACGCTAGCAGTGTAGTGGTGATTACTTTACTTCACCACACTGTGTTAGATAGGGTTGATGAGTTACTATCTGACTACCCAAACTTAACTAGGCAAAATTGGTCTCGAAAGCGTGAACCTTTGTTTGAAAATAGTGTTTAATCTATTTATTCGGACTAAAGTCTCTTTACCTTACTGGTTGACTTTTAAGTTTTCATTCAGAGTTGTTGTATTTTAAGCCCTCCATATGTGACTTGATTTATTCGTTAGCTAAAAGCGAAACTAGGTGTTGGGTAATCTTAAAGCGTATTTAAAATTTACTTTTTCACATTCATTAGAATCAAAATAAAATTACCGTTACAATCTTCTCATATAAGATTTATATTTGCTTTATTCATATTTGTATATCTATGTGTATTATATTTAATTGAAGGTTATTCGAGCAGCAGAAGACTGTGCTACTACAGTAGCTCAAAATCTTCCTCAAGAACTCTGTTTAAGTGTTCTTACTCCACTGATAAATGATCCGAAATTGCATATCAATTTACCAGCTATTAAAATGCAAATGCAAGTTATACAGAATTCATCACCTGAATTAGTACAAGAATCTATTAATGCATTAATCCCTGGACTAGTCACCGTAAGTTTACTATTTTCATACATATACATACACGTTTAGATTTGTAGATGTTATTTTTTTCCATTTTGTTAGAGCTGGGGCATTGTTATTATATTTCAATATTTATAAAGAACTTGAACATATCAGTGTCATTTTATACTAACACATTGTTAAACATAAGTATCCTGAAGCCTATAAATCTGATATGATGGACGAAACCTGGAGATCATGTAGTTTTTATTCAATTGTATAGTCACTTCTTTTCATTTAAAATGAATTCGCGCTGCATTAATCAAATCTAACCGATGCCTACAAAAATGGTGTACATCTCCAAGTACTTTTCTGATATCTCTGGCGTTATGTATGTCATATAACCTTTTGTGTTTGCTATAAATTAGCAATCAGTTGGATTCATTCAGTGGAGTGGCGTGTGTAGTATTCTCATGTGATAAAAGACACAAAGAATAACAAATAGTGTATACCGGAAATGAAAATACTAATAGTTTCTATACCTAAAAAGCCCACAAAAATGTTTTACAAATGATAAACACTTGTAATTTTGTGGGTGGTAACTAGCAGTTGAGTCTAGGATGCGAATTTCGTCCTATTTGGGACTCGCCACTTGGATGTACATGAATCCCACAGTGAGTGATGGCATTCCCAGTGAGACTTGAACCCTGTATTCATCGTTCCCAACACCAAAGCGTTATTCCGTAGACTACTCAGCCCTCGAAAGCCTCATCCTACGCAACAGGAATACGTTGTCATTTTATATTTAAGTCAATTTTGATTTTCCACTTTTAGTGACTGTGAACTTCGTTGAAGTGTCCGTACTGAGATTTAGCATATTAACAGAGTCTGAACATTCCTGTCCAAATCAGTCGAAGGGAAAATCAAAGTTTATTTAAAAACATATAACTATTTGTGTTGTAGAAAGTTCACTTATAAAATATCCAGGTGATAAAGCGCTAACTTTATATGAATTCTGTCTTATTTTTATTCCTTCACATTCCGGGTGGAACATACGGCTCCAAGCTAGAGTATCTGAAGTTTATGTAGCAGTGGTGTTTATTTTTATGGGGTGGGGTTGCTGGCCAGCAGTGCGTTGGCCGGCGATCGAACCCCGAACCACATGCGTGGTTAGCGAACATTCTACATCTGAATCACTGACTCACTTAGATTCGTATTTAACTGATCTAACTGATCGATCACTTATTAATATCAAGGAATAATTTTTAATAACTAAGCGGGATGGTCTTAATGTGTTTCCCGATTGGGTTAGTCGTTATGTTAAATTGTTATCATTATTATAATGGTTTTCTCGTTATTCTCATTGCTTATTGTATAGGCATGTAATCATGAAGAGAGTGCTATCCGTAAGGCCAGTGTATTCTGCTTAGTTGCAATTGCTATGAAGCTTGGAGATACTATTTGGGAATATCTTACAGAATTAAATGCAGGCAAAGTAAGCTTTAATTTTTTTTATTGATGACACTACACTAACGTTTCATAGTGAACTTGCTGACTGTTGTAGTAAAAGTTGACAGAAGAGTTATAAATATCACATTCAACCTTTGGTGAGATAATGAGAAGAGGTGAATCAGTACCCCGGTTACACACACACACAGAGAGAGAGAGATACTCAGCGAAAGAAAAGAAAGTTTGAACTCAGTTTTCTGGAGGCAAATCATATTGTCTACCAGGATAAATGAGTCATATCGTATGATGGCTAAATTAGATGTTAGCATTTGTAAGAGGAGTAGTCTAACTAAGCATAGTTTAAAAAATTTAAACAAAATAAAAACGTATACTTTCAGTATAGTTCTTATATTTCTTTGTGTACTATTCACCTGAAGTCGAAAATATTTTTCCTCCTAATGATAGACAAACGTAGTAATAACTCTTCTTTTTTACTAAATAAAGAAATTATTGAATACACTATTTTTTTCTGTTTGTCTTTTTTCTCTTTTGTGATCTGCGAATTCAATTTAGTCAATTTACTGTTCTCTAATTTCGATTGTTAGTTGTTTGTCTTTTTGCTGTAAAAATTTAAGTATAGTCTGATATTTAAAGTGTCAAGATAAAAAAAGAAAGCGCAACAAATTTAGCGAAATTAGTCATATTTTTACAAATTTGTGCATATTTCTCATCCTGGAGTTTATATATATATATCACCTTTCTCCTCCACTCCAACCCTTTTTTTCCAAATATTCTGTGGACATTCCATTGGACAAAAGTTGGTGACAGTAAACCTTAACTCGATCGATCAAAAAAAAAAACAGTAGCTTGATGTTCACATTGATGATTCATTGCGAAGTGAAGTAACCCGGCTTTGAAAAAAAAACAGTAGGACAAGATTGTAAATCCCTCTTCATCTACTTTCCAGTCCAGGTGTAGCTGACAACCTGGTACATCAGTCTTCGATTTTGCGTAAAACTCAGGTCGAAGAAAACCCGGGCGCTTCTAACAAACATTTTCATCAATTTTGTATCTTTCTTCAGAGGTATGAACCCGAATGGATGAATCCCCCACTTATTGGTGTTATCGGTAAACTAAATAACGCAACTTTCGCACAGTATACTACTTATTTTCTGTGAGCAACTAAAAGAAAATGATATAAATTCAAGATATGGATAGAAAAGTGGCATACGACAATAATTACCACTAATAACAGTAGTCTGTTTGTGTGAAATACATCTAACTATATATCATCATTTAACATGTATTAAAAGCTTAAAATGCATAGTAACTACCCAAACTTATTGTGTAGCTGGATTATTGAATTGTTCGAAAACATTGATGTGATCAAGTTCTGTTGGGTTACGTTAAATTTTTCCCCATCTGATTGGATTATAAGTCAATCTCAAAGAAGAATATTCTTTTCAATAATCTCTTTCCAGGTTCTCACAATAATGAAATATAATATTTGTTGTCGTTTGTAATTATGATAGCCAGTCATGCATGCGGCGGATACATTTTTTTGACGTAGAATAACAAATGAGTTATGGTGTGTCACAATAGATAGTATTTTCCCGACAAACGTGCTAGGCCTAAATCATTTAGGAAATAATGTGAAACAGGAGACAGTGGTGATGATTAGTCACAACAGATTCGTAGAATGTAGGGTAGGAAAAAATGACAAGTCAGTTCAAGGTTATAAATGGTGTCAGGCTAATACAAAGTAATATGTATTTAAGAGGAGATAGTAAGACCGCAATGATAGGTTCATCATGAAATAACCGATATGTGAAATGAAACAGGTGGAGGTGTGTACTGAGATAAGAGATAATATCACTAATAATGAGTCAGGTTAGTATAAATGGAAAATTCGATTGTATTGAGAGCATGTTTGAATGAAGGGTATAAATTGTAACGAATAATAGTAAATGCAATAATAAGCAAAGGAAAAGAAAAAAGCCAGAGGGACAAGGGGAGAAGAAGAACCATTAAGCAAAGTTTAGTCATGGTAGGAGCAGCGTCTAGACGTGTTCTTTTTGAATACAAATTTCAGTTGAGTTTATCTAAGTGTAACAGCTTCAGCTATGTTTAGGAGACGTAAGCGAACTGTACGTGATAACGGCCTTAGAATTTGGTATATAACTCGGAATTATGTTTTGGCATCGATGCAATGTCCAGTATCGACCAGGTGTGACAGGATCGAGCTTTTTATGGATTTAATTTCCTCCTTGATGAACCAAGATGGTAAATGTTCTCGAATCCGTTGACGACTTTGCGTAATCGCACGTCCTGACTTGAACCACAGAAACGGTTGAAATGCCGTATGTATGAAGAAGGCTTCTTTCACTTGCTGGATGAATATTGAACGCCTATTGAAGAATAGGGACAGATATGCAGAAGAGAAAGTTTTCTTTATCACCCTAGGACAAATACAGTTTATTTTGACGCTACGTAACTATTCAGTTATTCTACGTTAAAAAAAGTGTCCGCCGGATAACTGGCCATCATTGCAACACCAACTAATATTATATTTTATGATTGTAAGAACCTGAATAGAGATTATTGAAAATAATATTCCTCGTTCAAATTGACTTTGAATTCATAAGATGGGAATATTTCATACTATTAAATGTGATTGGGTTATGATCAGTTATGCATGACTTCAAGGTAGATAGTTATCACCACAGATTAATGCCAACTTGAGGATAATCGTAAGCCTTCAGTTCCATTGTGTCAAGCAGAAAAACCTTCATGCCACAAAGAAAGTAAATGCAGTACAAATCATGTGAAATCTCATTCGATAAAACCAAAAACTAGGCGAAACAAATGTTCATTGGTTTATAATTTTCAAAATTTTTCCAAGTGAGATCAGTTTGCATCGAAATATATATATATATATACATAAGACATCTTTGTTGAACTTATTCTTTTTAAATAGTATCGATTTGTAAAGTAAGATCAGTGCAATTACAGTTCATTAAAGATGCTTAAATTATAATAATAATAATAATAATAAAGATATGATAGCAAATGTCTTATCATATCATATCAGCTAAAATTAGGAAAATTCCACGAAAATTCAGGATCATTCAAACCTAGATGGCCAAGGTAAGAATAATGTCTGAACTGACTTCTTTTGGATGCCCAAATTAGACTTGTGCTGAGGCTGTTGGGATCCACATTAACAAGCCTAATTTGTGCATCTAAAAGAAGTTAGTTCAGACATTATCCTTACCTTGGCCATCTAGGTTTCCTTCATGCATTTATTCCCCTTGATGAATTTGAATAAAGCAAGAACAACAGTGGTTTGTGCAGAATAATATGGTACCATCATTTATTTCGTTGGCTTCTCATCAGCTCAGCTGCTTACAGCCTAAATAAATTATGAGGTTTATGTGCAGAAAAGTTTTACCACATTTTCAAATTTTTCATGATGTCAGTCGACAGAAAGTTCTGCAATTAGTGAACAGCGCTCAGATAATTACGCATATATAGTTTTTTCACAGACAGTTCAAGTTTCAACAAAATAAATGTATGCATACAATGGTAAAGGAGTTACAAAATAAAGATGAGATGTGCGTTAGATGCATAGTGACTAACAAGTTAGGTAACAATGTACTGAGTTCAAAGCAAATCATAGAAACAAGAGACAAACAGAATTACAGATTATAAAAAGAGGGTGAGGTTAAAAACAAAGAATACGTAATCAGATGAGAGAATAAAGACATCCAGTTGCCAGGGCAAGGAAAGACTAATAACTGCTTCTTTCTGAACACACGAATCTGGATTCAAACGTTTGATAGAAATTGCTTCGGCAAACTTGAGGAGAGTGGAGCTCCTTTGTCTGTTGATAATTTTAAAGGATTTCTCGATTTCCACAACATGACCCGTGTCGAGGAGATGTCTTGTAATAGGTTTGAATGATCCTGAATTTTTGTGGAATTTTCCTAATTTTAGTTGATATTTTATTTGATACTATATCTTTATTATTATCATTGTAATTTAAGTATCTTTAATAAACTGTAATTGCCTTGGTCTTACTTTACAAATCGATATTATTTAGAAAAACACTAATATTGTTATTGACTACCATTCTCAAATATTCAATATATATATATATATATATATATATATATATATATATATATAACCATTCCTTATTCATTTTCTTCTTCATTGTAGAAACGTCTTTTAAAATTATATATTGACCGTCAACAAAGTTCAGCTACATCAAGTGACTCAATTGCAACTAAAAGTTGATATAGTGTGTGTGTGATAAAGACAATAATATACAAAAGCACCTCGAGATATATGTGAAAAAAATAATGATTTATTGTCGTCATCCTGTTGCTGTTGTCGTTTTATTTTCCCCACTCTGATGAAACATCAGATAATTTTTTTAAAATTTGTTTTTCATTTCCTTTGACTTCGTTTCCCTTTTTTTGTCTTATCTCTGTCCATTTTATCACCTCTCTCATGCCTACACACACACACACACACATGTTGACTACAAACCAAATGGATTGTGGCATTTCATTGTCTTTAATTAAGTTTTTTTATTTTTAAAGAAAAATACATATACACGCTAGTTTCCAACCAGTATCATCTCTCTTTAATTAAATAACTTCTTTTCCTCTCTCCTTTTTACAATTTAGTCAGATTTTTAAGTTCAGCATATATATATATATATATATATATATATATATATATATATATATATATATTATTTGCATATATGCCGTCTCTTTTTTTATTGTGTGCCTACACCTTTATTTCTATTTCCCTTTACCGATTAATATTATCTATTTTCATCATTATTATTACAGACAACCCGGTAAAATGTTGTTTATGTAATAAACATACATTTTTAAGTGGAGGAGATGGGTTTGGTGGGGGGATGTAAATGCTTTCCTATTCATCTGTTTGTTTGTAGTACTCTTTACTGTTGATTGTTTGTTTGTCTCCCTCCCTCCCCCCCGACACGCACACGCGCATTCTCATTCTCTCTGTGTGTGTGTGTGCGTATATTCATGCATACATACCCTGAAAATATAGTATGCTTTGGGGATATTCGGTTATTAGCTGACTAACCAAAGCTTTTAACATGAGTGCGCTTATTCCCTATTATTTTACTAAATATTTTTGTTTAGGTGAATTGATCATTATATTGTATCAGTTGTAGTTTGTGTTTGTTTTCTTCTGTCCCTTTAAAGGCATAAATACCTATAATATATTTTCTAATCCTCCTTTCCTCTCTTCGATGCCGTCCCTAATTTCGCTTAGCTGAAATTTTTTTCATCTTTTTGTGTTTGTTGTAATCCGTTTTGAAAGCGTTGATGCTAATCTCCTCTTTTTTTTGTTTTTAACAGTGTTTGTATAAATAAAAAAGTAACTCACGTTTTTATCCACTAACTACTTACTAACGATCAGTTTTGCAAGCTTACTACTCGTATGACTTCTGTTATTTGAAATTGAAAGAGGAACATTGAATTAGTGTTTTCTTGAGTTATCTTTTTTTCGGGGGTGGGGTGGGGTGGAGATTTGGCTTTCTCCAGTAATTACAGTAATTGTTTAATGTATGAATACCTCTCTCCCCTCTCCATTACACATTCTGCACATCTGAGCACATATGTACCTCTTTGTAGTATCTATATTGTATACTACTTTTTAATAGATAGTAGACGATTACTTATTTCTAACATATTGTTATCATTGCTTTCCGTAAAGTCCTATGTATAGGAGTTAACCATTCCTGTTGCAAACAACAGCACATTGAATAATAAACATACATGGATGCGAAAAATGTTTATGTATCGTTTTCTGTCTCTTCTTTCTCATCTTTGCGTCTTATTCTACGCAAATCCATATGTTCATCGCAGAAAATATACCGTTTTCTTTTCTTTCTCTCTCTCTCGTTTTTACTCTTCTTTTATCATCTTCTGTCTTTCGATGGCTTTTTCGTACAGACGTTTACATCACTTGAACTAGTAGTTGTTCATAACTCCTGTTAGACAGCAGACTAGACAGTTTTCCCTTCAATTCATCTCCATAAAAGTAGGAATATAGTTGTAACGAGAAAGAAAAGAAAAACCACTGACCACTTTTATCACTTTTTATTTTATGCCACACACACACACTTTTTGCTCCCCATGATTACAGCCAATTTTTATTTATTATTGTATCCACTAGTTGTACACAAATGGGGATTGAAACAATAAGCTGTGTATACTAGATACTATACCTCTTGTGTATTTTATTTGTATGGATGGGCGTGTTTGTGTCTGTGTGCGTGTTGACACATGTGTACAGGATTTGTTCCCTTTTGTGTCACACAATTCCAGAGTTACTTTATTCAGCTTTTTGTTCTGTTGTTTTTTTTGGTTTGTTTGTTTTTTTGAATTTTTAAACCTTGGAATCCATCTTTTCATTATTATTATTATTATTAATATTATTATTATTAGTTTTCAGTTGATTGTAATTTGTCATAATTATTAATAATGATGATAATATATATTAATAACTTGTATGGTAATTATTCAGATTTTTCCCTTTTTTTTCTATCATCAGTATAGGTATATATAATTGTATGTATGTGCGCATAATCGTTATAATACTAAATTGACCGCTTATATTACGAATAAGTTATTCATATCAGTAGATTACGGTTTCCTAAGCATCTGCAATTGGTTATCTGCATCAGTATAACACTAATTCTAAGCTGAATGTCTAATAAAGTCGGAAAAATAATGCGGAATTTATGAATTTATAGAATTGACATCAGGCCAAGGTAGTAATTTATGGCTAGATCTGTTTCCTTTGCATGCAGAGCTCCGCTTGTTTTAAGCTAATTGTAATGGTCTCTGTTATTTGAAGTATTTGGAAGCTTTTGTCAATCTTTTTCGTACCCGGTAGATGACAGAAAAAGTTACTTTAGTGGTGGCTGTATGGACTTCTGATGGCTTTTATTACACCTTTATTTAGTTAGCTACATTAGTTTATATTCGCGAACACGAGAAACTGGGTTCCTACAACAACGGCCAATATGACTGGATCCAATTGGAGTAGTTGAATTGATATATTCAATAAGAGGTGGCTAGTCTAGGTACTTTATCTTTCAGTTGAGAAATCACAGTCGATCATGTGAAGTTCTTCGAATCGATTTTTACAAGTTGTTGGTTATTATATCGCTTGGTGCATCATCACCTTAAAATCGCAGTCGTAAATTTAGAGGTTTCTGATTAACAGATATAAAAGAATTCTTCTCTAGTGTCTTGGCCATGTCGTTCCTGGAGAAATTTTCAGTGTTGCTATTTTCAATTAACGTGTCATATACAATCATAAATTCGTCTTCAATAGCATCTTCTGAACAAATAGAATATTCAAGTATTGGTTTATAGGGATTTCGTTGATTGGTTATAGGATTTCATCATGAACTGACATTGATTAGCGAACCATTGGAAAGCCAGCTGGGAGTACTGGACAGCTGTTTCGTCCTAGTTTGGGACTCTTCATCAGTACGCACCCACAGGGGTTCGAACTCATGACCTTCTGGTTACAAGGCGAGCTCGTATACCATTAAGCCACTGGGACCCGATCTAATGGCCCATGAATCCTAACTTCTATCAATTCACGATATAGCGCAACTGCTAGCCAATTTCTTCGGCGAGTATTTATCCTCACACCCGACCTGCTGCATCCTACTGGTCATGACTTCCCACTGGAACCCCAGGTAACTACCTACCTGAATAGGGGCAGTCGCCAGTGAGCATCTCATTGGTATTCAAGTATTGGTTCACTAATCAGTTTAAAAAAAAATTTAGTGGATGTCTTTTTAACTAACATTCATGTCAATGTCGCACACAAACCAACAAAATCACTTCACTCAACTCTGTGTCAACCAAAAGACTCAACAGCGAAAGCAGGTAAAATAAATTGTAACAACCACGAAAAACACTACACTGACCAAAGTGGACGTCCTCTTCGTCTTCGAAACCACAAACATAAGCTAGCCATCAGAAGACATGACATCTACTCCCTCATTTCGCCTCACTGCATACAGACAACCACGAACATCATTACGACTGGGACAATGTTCAAATATTAGACAGAGGAAACATCAAGAATCTTTAGAAGCTTGGTATTCCACTGAATCGTCAATCAATAGACACATCGAGATAGACAAAATTTATCAATCGATAAGAAGGAAATCTCTCACACAAAGGGTCAAAGTTCAAGTCAAAGAAACAATCGGTATCAATAAAAGTAGCTTGAATGGCGTGGAAATACACAAAAATAACTAATCATATTCAGTGTCACCCACCAGGAGAGATGATTAATGAACTCGTGGAGAAATCTAAAAGCTCACTTCAAGAAATTGAAGTATTGGCTGAAGATGTTGACTAGTGTTGGTGTAATGAAAGCTTCGCAAATAAACCATCCAGCCAGCTCAGAAAACACAGCTACATCAAAATTTAAGTCAGTGTTTGCTGATTTTGTGTCCTTCTAAAATGGGCAGGTTCACTTGACTGAAAATACATCAAACTTATGTCACTCATGTTTTCAATAGCTCATTTGTTTCCAATGTCTCGTTGGCATTGTGATTTCTAGTCTCAGTGGAAATGTGGTTTACTCACGGAGTTTTCAGGAGAATCTTAAGATTTACATTAGAATTCCTCTCAGCGAATTGTTAACAGATAATAGAACAAAGTTATCTCTTTCCCCACCCCCTTTCCCAATAAGGAGTTTTTAAACTTTCATTGATTGTTCACACATGTTTTGAACTTTTTCGAACAAAACAAATATTCAAAAGTAATTATTTTAATCATAAAATTCTCAGTTATAAATAGTACAAAATTTACATAATGATATTGAAAAAGAGACATTTAACAAAAAGTAAAAAAAGATATTATAAATATAATCTGATGACTATCAGTCGTTTACTGGTAATCGAATAAATGTTCCACTTGTTCCCATATTACGATCATCGACTTCTTTATAGTCACTCATTAATCGTTTAGCTGATTCAGGTCGTCTTCTTTCATCCACTGACATTCCTCTCCATAATCTTTCACCTTTCAAAAAGTATTCTTTGAAATCAGCATTCTGTTCTCCTGAAAATTAAAAAATAATAATAATTAATGGTGAATTGACGAGTTTATGAAGTTTGGAGGGATTAATTAAAAATGAAGTCTGTAATCTTGTCGTAAATTGATATGAATTCAAGAACCACTGAGAACGAAATAGTGCTGTACAGCTGTTTAATTTTTGTTAGATGTTCTTAGGAAATATAAATTGATGCCTTTTTGCCTGGAAGGTAACCTGGCATTTTTTTGGTTACACAGCGACCACTTTTTGGCCGTAATCCGTCGCAGCGATCTATTACTTGTTGTGATTGGCTGAAGTTCTTGAGATCGATTACACAATGGGTCTTTGATGAGCACCTTTTCAAATTTCACAAATAAGAAGTGACATCTGTCAAGTAATACTTATCCTGCATTTTATTTATCTTATTCCTTTACGTTCCAAGTGGGTTATAATTCTTGAAGCTAGAGCTTTGAAGTTTCGGTAGCAGTGATGTTTACTTATACGTGTTGGGTTTGCTTACCTCATGCCTAACCTTCCCCTTTTTACCTGTTTTATCGCCAGCTTAGCAAGGCAGAGAAGTGCGTTGGCTGGGAATCGAACCCTGAACCGCCTGAGTGGTTGACGGGCATTCTACCGCTGTACCACCGATGCCCATTCTACATTTTATATGGCATTAATTTCCTATTGGTGACGTATTGAATTTTCAACTATAAATGCCTCTGTTTCTAAGTATGTTCTCGGAGTTCAGTTCTAACGCTGCCGGTGGCTTCTCTGATGAAATTTTCGATTGTCATTTATTTGACTGAGGTATGTAACTAGTAGTGAATACCTTTTTACGCAGCTTTGTTTATGATTTACGTAGGAATGATGTTTTTGATCAGTATTGAGACTTAAGATCTTATTGATGGAATTCGGTCTAAAAATACACTTCTGAAATTAGGAGATATTAAATGGTTGCACCATTTTTACCTTTGTTATCCTCAAAACATCACTCACGTTAATGTTGAACGCAAATTGTTAGATAATGAAGTGAATTCAGTTGATAAGGTTGTGAAGGTCCATTGACTGTGGTATGCATACCAAATCATGACCTTTTCTCAAAGGATAAAATTAGTCAATGTAGGAATTCTTTGAAGATAAATTATCTGTTGTCAGACTGAAATGACTTAAATCCATGATGTAATTTACTATTGGTCTGAACAACCTAAGGAAGGTGTAAGTTAACTGTCGTTGGCACTTAGGACATCAAGTATTAACACGGGAAAAACTCTTTTATACATGACTGAAAACTGTTTACCTTTGACATATATCTTCTGTCCACTAACTCAACACTTTTCTTTACCAATTGTATATGTTGTTTTCTCAAAGTGTGACGTATCAATAGAAGTTTTGAAATCCTTATTAAAGCTTTAGAGTTATCCATCATATTCTGCTCAAACTTAATTGCGCTCTTAAGCAGTCCATTGACACTCAGTTTCATTCCAACAAAATATTAACTTTTAGTCATTTAGTCTGACACTCGAATGATATTTGTGTTCTTTTGTTAATATGACTCAAAATTGTTCTCAATGGTGCAGATTCATTCACTCTTTGTAAACTCAGATAAACTGTGCTATATGACATGTGATACCCTGAAGTTTTCTACTTTTCTGTGCAAAGTTCTGCGTTAAAATTATCTCAGCCGAGTAATAAGTTTCGTGTAAAATAAGTGCGTCGGAGGCACAGCAGTTAAGACGCTCGCCAACCAAGCACATGATTTGGGGTTCGATCCCTGGCCGACACACACCTGATATCAATGGTCGACCTGCTACATTTGGGCTACCGATATCACATGCTGAAAATTCCATACTTGTATTAAAAATACAGTGTGGAGTCAAGCTATAATAATGAATTTAAAAAATTAATTGTATTTAATATCTGTTGGGAACGAGTGTAATCATTCTTAAATACTCTTCTGAATCTTCAGCTAACATCTGAATTAAATCGAAGATCTATTCAGATACATGCATAAGAATAATTCTTTTTTCAACTTACTTAATATTTCTTCCATAGGTTTATTATATCCACCATATTCTCTTGGCAAAATAGCTTGAAGTCCTGGTACTTTATCATAGGCCTTCTTTATATTATCCTTCACTCTTATAAACTATAAAATGGTTAAAAACAGTAGAGGACTGGATGAATGACAAATGGAAAGATATAATAAAAAAGCTTTCTCCTTTTACAGCAAAATAAATGAAAAAGAAGCAAATGGTTGGAAGCATTTGGCAGAGAGCCTTGGACCTAGGTTTTGATGTACTTCTTGGCACTTGTCAACAAGGCATATGTGCAATCTCGAAGAAACACGTCATCCTCTTCTGAGAATCGAACTGACTTGACCTAGTGTCAGAGACGTTATTACTAACCTTTCTTCATCAACTGACATTTGAGTTAATCACCAGTTAATGTCGGTTACTTATGAAACCTACACTGAAATGACGGAAATACCTAGTAACCTAAAATCTAAATCTTCTAAGCTTTTGAATCAAACAACAAACATTCACAAAGTAGGATTTAATGAATTCTTGAGATTTTGGTAAACTCATCGTCTGAATAGTCTACATATTTGTGTATTAAATACACCTTGCGCGTCGGTGACACAGCGGCAGAATACTCACCGACCACACATGTGGTCCGGGGTTCGATCCCCGGCCGACGCGCTCCTTTACCTCGCTGAGTCAGTAACAAGAGTGGTAAAAAGGGAAGGTTGGGCATGAGGCTAGCAACCCCATCCCGTAAAAACAAACACCACTTCTACTGAAACTTCAAGCCTTTAGCTTGAAGCCCTATTTCCACTTTGAACGTAAAGGAATAAAAAAATACACATCTTGCGAAATATATCGGGAGATATGTGACCAACAAATAAACCACAGTAAATAAGTTGTGGCAAAACAAGAGTTGGGGACGTTTTACAGGCCAAGTAATGGAAGTAAATACTAAAAAAGCATATATAGTGACTGTGAAGTTGACTGCACAAGTGAAACTAGTAGATTGGAGTCAATTAAATCATCCGAATAATGGAATTTAACTAGAATTTTTAAGTATTGCTTTGCAGAAACTTGATCGGTTTCAAGATTGATCATGGTATTACACAATTCTAGAAGAATAGAACGCATACTCAACTCCACAGCATTTTTGTTTATTCAATAGACAGTATATTTTGGAGTCATTTAACTACAAATGAGACCACTATATGCACTTTATTTCCACACGTGTCATTTTATCATCTATCATCCTCACATGAATGCCACGTATACTAGTCGAAATCGATCAAATCCTTGCAAACCAACACTTGAAAATTAATCTACCGACTGACTTCAGGCTGAAGTCACCTGATATAAGTATAAAACTTGGGCACTGTGGTAAAGTATAACTCCATTACGGATAAGATTTTATTTTGATAAATCACACACAGTGTTGTGCAGTTATATTAACTGATTGTAAAACACACTCGTCCTTTTTTCCCATCTAACTGCAATTGATCAACAACACTCGCACTATTTTTTCTGAATGTACATTATCTCACATTGATTTTAATCCAATATCTAATTGATTCTACACATGTATATAAATGAAAGAACAAAGTTGTGTGAGTAACTTGATATGATTATGAGCAATAGTTTGTGCTCGAAACGTCATCAGTTAATATAACTGTACAACACTGTGCGATTTATCAAAATGAAATCTTATCCATAATGGAGTCACCTGAGAATTTACCGGGAGAAGTCATAAACAGCAATGTCCACTAAACTGGGTTTGAGGACAAATACTCACCTATGTCTCTTGCTGGCATTAATGCTATAGATTTATAGTGAAATGGCAAGAGTTGCAAACGACAGGCTAGTCACTGGATTACATCCCAGTGACTCAATGTGCTCACCTTGTAACCTGAAGGTCCTGAGTTCAGTGTCAATTACTGGCGAATTCATGAATTTATACTGCTAAAGAGTCCCAGAGCAAGACGAAACAGCTATCCACTACTCTTTGTTTATGAATAGCCCTCTGACTGAAGTCAGTTGATGAGTAATCTTGAAAAACATTTACATCTGACCAAAAATTAATATTTTCATTTCTTTAACTACTCTTCATTCTTGTTTGAATCAAAAGCATCACAATTCATGTGACTATAAATCAAACAGTTTGTAATCTCGCTGTTTTTTAAGAAAAAAACCTACTAACACAAATAACATTTCAAATAGAAAAAAATTGTATTCTCATTTTGTTTGTTAATTAATTTTGCACAATTGTTTACTTCTTAATATAGAATATTTTAAATCACATTACTATGAAAAGTAGTAATGGCTAATTTTAATCTTGTCTTCTGTCAATTAACTTGTAAATAGCAAGGCAGGCTATAAAAGTCTATTTTCATAAATAAAGCTTTCAAGTAACATATTCATTAATTTATAATTCCTAATTCTGATCAATGCTTCAAAGTGTGGTGGATTAAAATTCTCAAATATTGGTTTTGTAAAGATTTTGTTTGATTGGCTGGAGGATTTCATCATGAGCTGACATCAGTTAGAGAACCATTGGAAAACCTGCAGCGAGTACTGGACAGCTGTTCCGTCAGACTAGTGTGGGTCACTTCACAGTGCGCACTCACTGGGGTTCGAACCCAATCAAACCAAAATCCCTACAAAAAACCAGCACTTGAAAATTGATCTGATGCTCACTAGCGACTGGCCATATTCAGGCAGTTACCTGGGGTCCCACTGGCAATCCGTGACCAGCAGGGTGCAGCAAGTTGAGGCAGTAACTCATTGAAGAAGACATTGGTTAGTGGTCGCGCTATGTCATGAATGGCAGAAGTTAGAATTCAGGATTGGCCATTGGATCGGGTCCTAGTGAGTGGCTTAATGGTCCACGAGCTAGTCTGCCTTATAACCAGGACGTTCTGGGTTCATATCCCGTTGGGTGTGTACCATTGAAGAGTCCCAAACTAAGATGAAGCAGCTGTCGAGTACTCCCAGTCTGTTTTCCAACGGTTCTTTAACTGATGTCAGCTCATGATAAAATCCCCCTACTGATTAAAATTCAGCAAGAGATATTCTATAACTTGAAGGATTGTAATATGTATCATAGAAAATTAAACAATGACGTCATTTTGAAGTCACTTAAAAGAGGGTATGATAAAGTGCTTATGGTCATTATCAGAAAACACATTTTTCTTCTTTAATATTAGTTGAAATTTCTTCTGAACTTAAAGCTTTGACAGAGATAATATGATTCACATATTAATTATAGGAGACAATGAATAGGTTGATGGATCAAAGTGACACAACTCTTCCTTATTGTTTCATTCTAACTAATTTTTTTTTGAAAAATTGTTGCTCTGATGAGTACTATTAGCTCAATCCACTTAGCATACATACTGCTATGTGCAAATGTCCGTGAAGCCACTTTTCCATCCTGTCTACATTGTAATCTCTAATGACAATGTACTAAAAAAGATGCCAGAGTTATGAAACTGTCAGAGAGTGGTGTTTTGAAATAACATACTCAACGGTAACGTCTTGAAGGAAGTACTGTGTGAGCCGGGTTCGAATCTCAGAGGGGATATGAGTTCATTAAAGATTGCAGGTGCTTCTTATTGATGAGTGTCAAGAACGACGAAACCTAGGTTTGCAGCTTTTTGCCAATTGACTCCAGTCATCTAATATCAGTTCAGAGCAAACTATGATGGCGAGTCACCTAGCTTGGTGGCTACATTGCAAGACTGACAATGACTACTATCCAGTGAGCAGTCAAAGTGATTGATTAATTATAGGTAAGAGCATTGCTTAAGAAAAAGACTGATTTGATATAAACAGCAGTCAAGTGTAGACTTTTGTTAACTGAACAGTCTCCACCTGCTTATTCTCACTGCTGCTAGTCAACTCAGGTAGTGCTCAATTTGTGATTTACTTTCCCCGAAAAGCTAGAGAAATTATAGTTCTTATATCATGCTCTTACAATAGACCGTCAGGTTAACAAATGAAACTTAGTTTTATGATCGATCAAAATATGGGAATAATTATTAGACAGGCTTATAAGCTGTGATACAACGACAAGCGCGTATATGAACTTAATTCAACTTCCAAAAGATTTTATGAGGACAAACAAATAATGAATAATCTTACCCGATCTCTGACTTTAGGTCTTAGCCATATTGTCAGTAATTTAAATATTACTTCCATTACAGCCGGTTCATTATAATAGATAATCCCCTTCATTCGAAATGGATAAGCCTCCTACAAACAGAAATAAGAACATTTGCTTTAGGCTATTGTAAATAATTTATTTTATTGTATTGTGTATCAAAACTATCGGTATACATGTTAAAAAGAGATAAATTCATGCATAAAATGAGTAGAATGTTTAGGTCATTGTGGAATAAATCTGGAATATTTTGTTTAGAAGACTTCATGAAAGCTTTGTAGCTGAACTATCTATCTCCGAGGAACTTAACAACATTGACAAAGGTTAAGCAAATCAATGAATCCGGTATTAATTCAAGTTGTGATAACAACAATATGATATGACTGAAGAAATTGCAAAGAACAATTAAGTCACAATAGTTTATAAGGAAGACATCAGCTTCCAGTTTACTTACTTCATTCTCTATCATCTCAACTACGAAGTAAGATGCTGCCTAACCTCAGGTTTCTAAAGTTCACAGACAATTTCATTTAATTGCCATGTGAATTTGACTGATAAGTTTATATTCATATTTAAATCATGACTTAGTGAAGGTTAAAATGCAGGCCTATGTTTCATAAGGTTGTAAGAAAATAGCCTTTTTGGTCACGAATTCTCACTAGAACTTCAGGAAACTCCATCCTGTAGCAAGTCACTGACGAGCATCAGATTAATTTTAAAGGGTTGATTTGTAAGGATTTGATTTATTTTTCGAATTTGACGACGGATTGATATCAGTTAGAGAACCATTGATTCCCAAACCAGGATAAAATAGCTGTCCAGTACTCTAGTGCTGGTTTTCAATGATTCTCTGACTGATATCAATCCGTCGTCAAATTCGAAAAACAAATCAAATCCTCAAAAATCAACCCTCGAAAATAACCTTTGGCTTACCAGTTCACAAGAAAACAAACGAAACAGTCTATTAAAGGAAAATTCAAAAAGTTAGCTTGATATTATCAAAAGTCACCAATTTTCAAAATTTGCACAAATGATCCTGCCCATTAAAACATCTAAAATATTCCAAACCAAACTGTTAAACTAGAAAAGAACATATTGTTGATACCAGATATCTCGTAGAGATGTTAACTAGACAAACGACAGCAAATCTACTACGATTTGCCGAAGCTATCGCAATCAAACAATTTAAACCAGACTTATGCATACAGAAAGAGAGTGTGATTAATCTCTCACTCTCTTGGTAACTGAATTTTGACTTTGATTACAATGTTTAGTCATCTAATTCAGTGATCTTAACTCACTGAACATATCATAATCTCATAAACTGTAACCGCTTTTGTTTTTTGGAGTTGCTATGTGAACCTACAAGCTAACACTGTTCTGTTAATCATTTTCTTTCTGTTTTCTGTCTTACCCCTCCCCCCTCTTTTCAACTTTGAAAAGAGTATAAATTGATGATGAAAACTTAAACTATAAATTGCAATGCTTTCATTTTGAATGAGTCAATTTTATAGTATCTCTTCTCTACTACCACTCAAACATTAAAGTATGTTATTATCATTTATATAACCATTGTAATTTTAGGTAGTCTGCAGCTGATGAAAACCTGTGAAATAGACTGTTATCATTTTATACTGCAAATTTCGTCTTCCTTTCCTTATCGAGAAAAAGAATACTCTCCCGCGGAATGATTTCCTGAAGCTGTAATGGAAAGTCATGACCACTGGAGTCCACCGTGAAGTGGATGCTCATAGAATTCATTACTGATGTCAGCGCTGTATCATGAGTTGACATAGTATAAACCAAGGGTCACTGAATTCCAGTTGAATTGGCAAAATGATCAACGAGGATGCACAATGCCGAAAAGTCTTTGAATAAGGCGAAACAGCTGTTCAGTGCTCCCTGGTTCTTAGTGTTCTCTCTAACTGATGTTGGTTTGTGACGAAAATCTAGCAAATGAAACTAATCCAAAATCCCTACAAATCCTACATTGTGAGGAGAATAAATTGTAAAACCTAACCTTAGCTCTTCTTCATGCATACACCATTTCAACTGTTCCTGTGGTCTAAGTTATATCGAGCGTATGATTAGGCAGCTTCGAGAACATTTACCAGTGTGGTTCGGCAAGAGTGAAATTAAATGCATAGAAAGCTCCATTGTGTCACACTTGGTTGATACTGGACATCGCATCGATGCCAACACAGCCTTCAGGGTTGTATACCGAATTCCGAAGTCGTTATCACGTACAGTTCACTTACATCTCCTACACATAGCTGAAACCGTTGCAATAAGATTGACTAGACCGCAACTTTGTATCCAAAAAGAACACGTCCAGGCGCTGTTCTCACCGCGGTCAAATTTTGACTACCGATACTTCTTCTCACCAAGAATACCTTTTCCCCTTATCCCTCTTGGCTTTTTTATTTTCTTTGCTTATTATTACAATTATTATTGTTCGTCATAACTTATAACCTTCATTCAAACATGCTCTAAATACAGTCGAATTTTCCATTTATACTATCCTGAATTATTATTAGTGATATTATCTCTTATCTCAGTACACGCCTCCACCTGTTTCATTTCACACATTGGTTATTTCATGATGAACCTATCGTTGCAGTCTTACTATCTCCTCTTTAATACATATTACTTTGTACTAGCCATTCACTCACTTGACACCTTTTATAAACTTGAACTAACTTGTCACATTTTTCCCTACCTCCATATTTTACGAATTTTTTAAGACTAATCACCACTATTGTCTCCCATTTTACAATATTTTGTCACACAAATACTATCTATTTCGACACACCATAACTAATCTGTAGTGCCACATTAAAAACATATCCGCCGCATGCATCATAACTGGCTATCCTTATTGTAACGGCAACATATATTATATTTTATAATTGTAAGAACCTCAAGAGTGATTATTGAAAAGAATATTCTTCGCTGAGATTGACTTTTAAACTCTACTCTGTTTATATTCCTTACAGAAAAAAAACAACCTCACCTGTAGAATTTTACTAAAATCTTTCATAGTTTTCTTTGGATTAATTGTATCCAATAAGGAAGGTGAAGCACCAGTAAAATCAATAAATACACGTAGGCCAGCAATCTGAACTCTTGGATCTTCTAAAATACGATCAAGCTGAAGTAAGACTAATCTCAGAATATTTTCTGTCGACAGAATACTGTTGTTCCAATGACCTGAATAATTGATTGAAAAAGAAATGAGTCTTATTGAATTGCTTGAATTCAGGATTAAATTGATAAATTATACAGGAAGGAATAGACATTTGCTACACATCCTCATTATTGTAACTAAGTTCCAGTTTAATCACTGAATGTCATATGAAACAATATATGCATAGTACAAATCACTATTCTGGAAAAATTCCTCGAAACTAACACTTTTCATGGTTATTATACTGAGAGAAAATTTTAGACAAACTTCAGGTTTACAGACAAGCAATATCAAGTGGTATGAGGGAGAACATTTGTAGCTCAAGTGGATGATTTTGATGTGTTTTTGTTCTCTGAGCTGGATATTTAATTTGCGGAGCTTTCATCGCCCTAATAGGCGACATCTTCAGCGCATACTTCAATTCGAAGTGAGCTTTTAGGTTTCTCCACGAGTTTATTAATCATCTCTCCTGATCGCCTGACCTTGGACGTGATTGGTTGTTTTTGTGTGTTTTCACACCTAGGCTACTTGTATTGGAACTGATTGTTTCCTTGACTTGAACTTTGACCCTTTGTGCGTGGGGTTTCCTTCTCATCGGTTGATAAATTTTGTCTATCTTGATGTATCTATTGATTGACGATTCACTGGAATGCCAGGCTTCTAAAAATTCGGCAGCATTCTGGTTGTTTCCTCTGTCTAATATTTGAGTGTTGTCCCAGTCGTAATGATGTCCGTGGTTGTCTGTATGCAGTGAGACGATATGAGGGAGTGGATGTCACGTCTTTTGACGGCTAGCTTATGTTCATGGATAAGAAGATGAAGTGGACGTCCACTTTGGTCAATGTGGTGTTTTTCTCAGTTGTTACAGTTTACTACGTAGATGATGTTGGTTTTATCTGCTTTCCTTGTCCAGTCTTTTGGTTATCATAGAACTGATTGAAGTGACTTTATTGGTTTGTGTGCGACTTCAATTTCTAATTTGAAGAGTCTTGCGGTGGTTTTTGAAATGTCCTTCAAACTGAAGTATGTGTTGAAGATGTTGCCTAGTAGGGCGATGAAAGCTTCGCAAATTAAATATCCAGCTCAGAGAACACAAACACATCAAAATATCAAGTGGTCCTGGAGAAGGAAAATGCAGTTACTGAATGTTCTATTGACCCTCAACTGAAAGCTTCGTTAAATATTCTTAAGCAATTAATATTAGCTACATAAACCATTATTTACAGCCACTTAGTCCTCCATCTATTCTGGAAGCTTGACAAAAATAGATGAGGCATTTAAACGAGTTTTAACTGGAGTTGGACGAAACGCTATGTTGTAGTAATGCCGCAGCCGGGAGTGTCTAACTAAACACAGATAATGACAGCCTTATTGCTACCTCATTTAACACATTGAAACCTGGTTGGGACTGGCTTGACAGTAACGTTTTTGTTGGTAGCGCTGACAAGCATGACTTAGAATATCTGGAGAAGCCTAAGCCGATTGTAGTGTAGCATAACAATTAATGGTTATTATTTATTCTCATTTTTTTTTCTTTTTAGTTCCCAGTGGAACATAAAGCTTCAAGCTTATAGGCTTGGAGTTTCGGTAGAAGTGGTTTTATTTTTATGGGATAGGATTGCTTTTCTCGGACCACCTGAATGCCTGGCGAGCATTCTACCTCTGTGCCACCGATGCACAACAATCAATGGTAGAAATATAATAGAAACATGAATGTAATCTATCTAATGTCGACAGTGAACAGTATGGTAATGGAGACAGTGATCCATATGTATAAATCATGCTCACTAATACATACAGGAATAAATCTGAAGAGCTAAAGTTATCTGATGACGTTTTGTGTATATAAGATAAACAGATGTCATCTGTTTTTTCTTTAAATATTTCATTTCATTTTATTGCTGTTGTTTTTTTTCTGTTTATTTGTATTCATGTGGTATTTCTCTCAAGGTTTTATGCATTCTTTAAAAGAGAATAAGTCATTTAATGATTAATAATTCAAAAGATTACTATCCATCATATGCTTGGATAAACTTAGTTATTATGATTTATTTAGTTATGATCCCATTAAGTAATAATTATAATAAGTGATAAATATTTATGATTCTCTATAGTAGATTATGTTTTCTTTCCTTTCTTCCTTTCAAAACAAAAATCTGAGATGAAGTTAAGATAGATTTAAAGAGAATGTGAAATAGTTATTAACTGACTCCTAGTTGTTTCAGTCTACAGGTGGTCATTTGAGTAATCAATAAGCTGGAGGTTTTCATCATGAGCTGACATCACTTAGCGAACCATTGGAAAATCTTCACGGAGTACTGGACAGCCAGTTGTTTTGTCAACCTAGTTTGAGACTCTTCAACAGCACACATCTCCAACCAATCAAACGAAATCCTTACGAAAAACCAATACTTTAAAATTAATCTGATGCTCGCAAGTGACTGGCCTTATTCGGGCAGTTAACCTGGGGTTCTAGTGGGAAGCTGTGAGTTACAGCAGGTTGAAGGTGAGGCAGTAACTCATCGAAGAAGACACTGGATCGTGGTTGCACTATTTCATGAATTGGCAGAAGTTAGTATTCATGGTGTGGCCATTAGATTGGATCCTAGTGAGTGGCTTTATGGTCTACGAGCTAGATCACCTTGCAATCAGAAGGTTCTCGGTTCGAACCCTGACGATGTGTGCGTACTGCTGAAAAGTCCTTAACTGGGCTGACGGAACAGCTGGCTATCCAGTACTCCGAGTTTGTTTTCCAATGGTTCTTTAACTGATGTCAGCTCATGATGAAATCCTCCAACCATTCAAACAAAATCCCTACAAAATGAATACTTAAAAATATATTTTATCGTTTTAAAGTCTATGGTGTTTTATAATGAGTTCATCATTCATTTATCGTAGTAGTGGTTTACTGGTATGCGCTACTATAAATTCTCTATGATGTGTACATTTAAATTAGAACCAGATGTACTCATGTAAATTAGTTGTAATTGATGTTCTTCTGAAGCGAATTTGTTCAGAATTATTTATATCTCTAGCCAGTGTAGCGGTAAATAATTCCCCAAAATTATTGACCACAGCAATCACTCATTGGATGCTGACCACCACTGTTTAAGTCGACTTGTTTAGCTGAAGGCTTCCGGTCAAGCATCCCCGCCATTTGGTACTCCGTCGTGTCACGTGCACGATCACTAGCTAGCTAAGCGTTCATCTAACGGCTTGTTTTGGTTCCTAAATATATCGCTTGGTTTGGACGATCAATTATCGGCTTTTGCTTTGTCTTTGTTGTTGAACGAGATATCCGTCAACCTCTAAACTAGCTTTCTGACCGACAAACACTTTACCGTTATCTACAAAAATGTCAAGGCTTGTTCCCGTCTATCGAACGACTTGCTCTTTGGTGCAATCAAAAATCGATAGATATCCTTCTCATGTTACCTCCAACTGTGTATACAAATTTGCATGTATCTGCAGGAGCAGTTACATTGGAAGGACAGAAAGAAGGGCATATCTACGATTTTCTGAACATGTACCAAAAAGCTTACGTCTAAAGGGAACAAATGCTTTAAACAGTGCCATCACCAGGCATCTTCTCGACACGGGTCATGAGGTGGACGTTGAAAAGTCGTTCAAAATTATCAATAAGCAAAATAGCTCAATTCTCCTTAAGCTTGCTGAAGCCATTTCTACCAAGCGCCTGAAACCTGATTAATGCGTCCAGAAAGAAGCGGTTATCAGCCTTTCTTTGCCCTGGTAACTGGATAATTTCACCTCTCTTTCCTCCGAATGTGAAATGCTAAAAGTTTCCATTGTGTTTGATTATTATTGTTCGGAATAGTGGTTAATATTGCATATTTATATATGTATATATTTTTAGTGTATGAGTATATTGATCGATTGATTTTTGTTTAAACTTAACTCTGTGCAAGTATGTTAAAATTGTTGTTGTAGATATATTTAATAATGTCTTTGCCATGTAAGCAGCTGACGAGAAGGCAACGAAATAAGCAGTGATGGTACCATTTTATTCTGCTAAAACTGTAGTTTTTGCTTTGTTCAAATTCATTAAGGGGAATGAATGTATGAAATATTCTTTCGCTACAAGTCGTTTTTTTAGTTTTCTAGATGTTTTGATCATGGTTATATTCCTCTTTATTTAGAAGACAATTGCAGCGAAGAAAATTTTCTTTTCGACGAAGTCATCATCTTGGCTGTACATTCGTGTATTTATATCAAATGGATAGGAAAGTTCCAGAATAATATCCAGTCAAGGATCAAATTAGTAAAAATTAAAATTAGGAATTAGAATGCCATAATAAACAGGGGGATAGATAAAACAAACAAAGTAGCATCATGATAGCTAAGAAGATTGACATTGTGCAATTAGGGGTTAGAAATGTAGAAATAATAAAATAGACAGGATGTTTGGATAAGAACTAATGTGATGAATAATTGTTTATGCAATCAGGTATTAAATGTGTGGAAATAGTAAAATGACAAAATAAATACGTAGTTCGGGTATGAAAATATGGTAGTGTGAACAGGGATTAAGAAAAACTTAAAATAACAAGAATAAACAGGAAGTTTAGGTAAGAAAGGCGATGGGATGGTCATTACTAAAAAATTATCTGTTTATGATGGCCATGGCAGGAACAGGGGTTGGACGTATTTCTTTTGGATACAAAGGGTGGGTTTGAGCTTTTGCATAGCTAGCGCTTCGCCTATGTCCATATGTCCCTTTGATAGGTTTGATTGAATCTTGTATATTATTTCGAAGGATTTTTCGAAAGGTACTGAATGTCCTGAATTGACCAGATGTTCTGTCACTGAACTGTATACACGCTTTTGGTTTCCTTTTACTAACCAGGCTGGGTAGTGTTTACGAGCGCGTTTTTCAAGTCGGCGCATGGTACGGACAACGTACTCAGCTCCACAAGAGCAAGTAAACTGGTATATGCACGCTGAGGTGGCCCAATGCGATAGCTGCGGATATTATTCTGGAACTTTCCTATCCATTTGATATAAATACACGAATGTACAGCCAAGATGATGACTTCGTCGAAAAGAAAATTTTCTTCGCTGCAACTGTCTTCTTAATAACTCCTCTTTATTTGTTTGGATTACTACAACTTCACTAAAAAAACGCCTAGAAATCAGTTTTAGTTGCCATTGTCTCGCTGATATTTCTCAGGATTGTATATATATTCAGTAATAATGATTTAACTTCTTTTACTTACCTATTCTAACCATAAACAAAAATGTTCCATCCTGAAGAAATCCAATTGGACAATGAACACTGTATATATTTAAAGAAAAGACAATATAAAACAACAGGATTTAAAGTTATATTATGTTGATTATAGTTGTTCTCTTTTATGTTAACAAAATATCAAATTCAAATTTGTTTAGGTGATCATTCACTTTACTATGTTCATTTGCTATGCATTTAAACCATATTCACAGTATCATATACAATCAAGCTGCTGAAGACTGGAAAAGCAGTGGGAGCAGACGGAATCCACGCAGAGGCATTGAAAATGAACCCTTAGGCATCAGCAAACCTGATGACACCACTACTGGAGAAGGTGTGGAAAGAGGGCAAGGTACGTGCAGATGAGAAGAAAGGCTACTTATTCACAATGCCAAAGAAATGAAACTTAAGTCAATGAAAGAACTGGCTCGGTATTCTGCTCCTATCCATTCCAAGAAAAATACTAAGCCTCATCATCCCAGAGAGAATCAAACAAGCCCTGGATGAAAAACTTCGGCCGGAACAGGCTGGATTCAGGAGGGACAAGTCAAGCGTCGATCAAATCGCAACACTACAGATCATCATTGAACTGAGCTTGGAATGTCAGTCACCTCTCTATCTCAACTTCACTGACTGTGAAAAGGCCTTCAGCGGACTGTGTCTATCGCGAGGTGATTTGGGAACTACTTCGCTACCACCAATGGGTGCCGCCAACAATTATGCATCTCATCCAAGAGTTGTACGATAATGTTGTGTGCCACAACAGCAAACTCACATAAGCCTTCGAAGTGAAGACGGGAGTGAGACAAGTCTGGCTACCTATTTTCTCTAATGTTTTTCCTGATTGAGGTAGACTAGATAATGCGACAGATAGCGGGCAACGAGGAGACAGGCATAAAATGGACCCACATAAAAAATCTTGACTTCGCGGATGATATATGTCTGGTTTCTCACAAACTGGAAGATATGCAAGTTAAAACCAACAAGTTGGCAGAAGAAGCATAGAGAGAAGATAGACCTTCAGGTGAACATAAAGAAAACAGAGGTGATGAGGACTTATGGCCAACAGCAAGAACAATAGACAACAATCCACCCTGAAAGAAGTGACTTCCTTTACCTCCCTGGGAATCATTGTTTCAACCACAGGCGTAACTGACGAGAATATCAAAGCAAGGTTCGGGAAAGCAAAGCAAGCAAGCTTTCATTACTCCCAAGTCTATGTGGAGGTCAACAGCACTCAGGATGAAAATGAAACTAAGACTATGATTTTCAACTCCTATGTGAATTCAGTGCTAGTTGCTATATGTGCGGATCACGAAGGCCACTTCGAGCAAACTACAAACCTTCATCAACAGCTGTCTTCGTTCAACACTTTGCTCAAGTTCAGATGGCTGGCCAGAAAAGATCATCACCAGGGATCTGAGGCAATGAACGAACGAACCAACCCAGCAAGAACCAATTGTGCAACAAATATGCAGGAAGAAATGGAGATGGATTGGCCATACTCTGAGAAAACCATCAAATGACATCACACGCCACACCATCGCTCGAGTGGAACCCGAACGGGAAGCGGCGAGTTGGCCGTCCAAGGTTATGTGAAGAGGAGATGAAAGCATGTGGGCAGACCTGGAGCCAAGTGAAAACGCTGGCAGAGAACCGAACGCAATGGAGACGTGCTGCTGAAGCCATATGTTCCTCTAGGAACTAAAGGAAACAATAATAAATAATAATAATGTATAACTTTACGATATCAGTGCTCTTGTTTTCTAAACAAACGGTTTCATATTTCAGGTGCACTCAATCCAATAAGTCACTAAATAATCCTGAATATAACTGTTATTTTGTGGTAAATCAAATATCATAACGGAAATAAACTAACATAATTTTACTGAAGATAAAAGCTGCTTATTGTTTAAGTTAATTTCTACAAGAGGTTTCCTCTGTGACGAATGCAGTTTTCAGTTCTTGGGGGAACACAATCTCTCACTGGAAATGCAGGTCTGTCTGTCTGGCAAATCCCAAACAGGATGAAACATACACCTTGTACTCTAATTTTAGACACTATCTACCGAAATAAAAAGGACCTAGTTGATGAAAAACCCATTAAACTTATCACAACTTGTTTGTTTACTCTTTAGATTGTTTAAGATAAATATGGGGTTTCATTTGTGTTGTTGATGTCTGTCAGAAAAATTCAGAATGCAGACTTAATCATATTCCTGACTTTTCAGCCTAGTGTACACTTGGTATGATTCAGTATTGTTGTTTATTGTTTCTAAACTGAAACCTTAAGTAATAAACTCTGCTCAATAAATGTTTCACATAACTCTATAATCTAGTAGTGAACACTTTGATGTTTGAAATGTTATGTTATGAGTCTAAGTCACAAAGAGAGAGAAGCTACTAGCTAGGCTGATAAATACTGAATAGGAAGAAAAGCGTATGTACAGTTAGCTACAAATGCATAGGCAATGCACTTAGGCAATCATTCAAGTGACTTATATACTGTCAGTGCAGTTCAAAAATATGAACAGTAAATTGCCAATACAAACAAAATAACTTGTTTCTTATTCCCACCATTATAACAACGATGAAGGTGGCAGGATATTTGAAAATCACTTGGTGTATCCTTTTCTCAGAAGTATGGAGAAAACAACCTACCGTTTAAAGTGTTATCATGTTATAATAATAATAATAATCACTGCATACCATATCAAATAAATTATTCTGTTATTTAATCCAATTTGGACGTTCCTGTTGATTGACTGGACAAAAATGCTAAGCCTCTGTTAAATTAATTAATAAGTGAAACCCGTCGTGCAAGAGGTAACTGTCGTGGCCTAAGTGGTTTTGTAGATAACGCTTTGGCGTTTGGAACGATAACTGCTGGATTCGAGCCCCAGTAGGAAACAATATCCCTAACTGCCGATGTAGGTACATCCAGACGATGAGTCCCAAATACGACGAAATGCGTATACCCTGGATTCCACTGCTAGTCAACATCCACCATATTAAATTACTCTACTTTGGAATTAAACTGTGTTACTGTACTGATAATCTATACTCATTAGATTTCTCACTTTTCCTTAGACTTAATCATTACCGCCAATTTTAGAAAATTGAAGTATTTCAGCAACTGATGACTTGTGACGTTGATAAGCTAAACTTCAGTAGATTATGTTCGCCAGTTGTTTTCGCATAAACTTTTCTAATAGTAAAAATGAAGTATGAAATCAGAGAGACAGAACGTGCAAAACAAATTGGAGAAATAATATTGAGTAGCAGAACATTTATATGAACCTAATAAATCCATAAAGGTCACTGACTACTCATTGAAATGTTGGTTGAAGTGATAAACATCCTGAAGCAATTGACGTGCATGCATGGCTGTAGGTCTCCTCCGAGTGTAGCTTAAAGTAATGATAAATCGCGTCTAACAGTTGAACTCCATGTTTAACAACAAATTTTGAAGCTGTTAATTATCTCTAAATTCTGTAGCAATCATGTTTGAACTACGAATATGTTTTTAGAAGTGTAGTAAATAATAATTTGGTATCAGATATGTTCATCTAAGATAACATACAGTGACAAGATAATAATAGCTGGATGATATTCACAGCATAATTTATTGTTCATAATCATGCTAAGATACCCACACAACCTCTTTATCTGCTTTATATAGTTTCATTTCCTTCAGTTTTCAATACAGTTAATCCTACAATTGACAACAGTATTGTGTTGCTCCCACCACATTTGTTGGGTCTTGACTCCGTAATGAACATCTCTCTCTTAGCCTATCATTCTGTCCCAATTCATTGTTTGAATGTGTGCAGGTGCACGCATGGTAAGGGTTGATATTTTTACAGAACTACTTAGCAGGATTTATCATTATAGATGCGGTTATATTCCTATGTTCTGGTAGTCTAATTAACCTCGATCAGCGGCTTTAATCTATGCATTTGACATTCTAGCGATAATATGGCATTCTCTAAATCGAATTCATTTTTTCACCTGGTTTACTGAGACCTGTAAACCTCCCACACGTTCCCTGACTGAGATAATAGATCCAATTTTTTTCCCTTCACGTTCCCCAGTGGAACACAGGGCTTCAAGCTAGTGGCTTGAAGTTTCTGTAGCAGTGCTTGTTTTACAGGATGGGGCTGCTAGTCTCATGCCAAACCTTTCCTCTTCACCAGCTTTTACTTCTGGCTGAGTGAGGTAAAGGAATGCGCCAACTGGAGATCGAACCCCGGACCATGTGCATGGTCGGAGAGCGTCCTAACCACTATGCCACCGACGCACTGGTGTCGCTACCAGCCTTATTAAAGTATAACTCAATATGCAGCATGACTGCTTCTAAAAAGAACACAATCTCATGGGTGGACTCAAGATCAGTCTTTTTGCTAGTTTCCGGGAGTGTAGAGAGAGAATGACATTAATTTAAATATACTTTTTTCAACTTATGCAGTCTGAATATCCTATAGCCCTCGTTTCATTTTATACGAATCAGTTAATCCAGAAATTGATCGACTTAATAATGATATATCCCACTAAGTTAAGCAAGGCAGAGAAAACATCATCCATCATTATGCGTACAATCGCTCATAATCAAACAAAGGTCTTGGAGAGGTTGATACGCCGAGAGAGAGAGAGATTAACCAGTGAATCTTTGTCCACAGAACCAAAACCTAACAAATGGGATAGGAATGACACAATATCATTTTCAGTAATTTAAAATAACGGGAGGAATCAGAACTATATAAAGGATGGTGTGTGGATATCTTGATAAAATTATAAACAATAAATTAGTAGTGAACGTCATGTAGTTATTAATCTTGTGTCACTGGGTTCTATATCAAACAAACTACTTTGGTATCTAGACATTTTGACACGACATTTGAACATTTACAAAAGATTCTGTAAAAGAAACTACTTACCCCATTTTGAGATATTCTTCAAGAAGACTATTAGTTATTGATGAAAGATCAAACCAGCTGGTTATAGGACTTTCAGGTGATGTACGCAAAGTTATAAAATTATCTAAACGCATTTGTGATTCTGAATGAGTAAATTTTGATTGACGCAGAAATGCCAAAAATATTCGATCATCTAAAAAGAAATTGTTCAATTAGAAAATTTCAGTAGTCTGGAAAAATATGAATTCATAAAGTAATAACTAAAGAAATAAAGATATAAAGTTTATTACAATGGTCTTACCTCAATAAAATATAACATAGTATTTCTGCAACATATTTATGTTGTATCGACAAGAAGCCTTCCACATAGATTTCGTGCTAGTTGCCACTCACTCACCAATCAGAAAGGCGTATCCACAACCTTGACGGAACTCATGTCCCTTCTGAGATACAAAACCGCGTCATCCAGTGCTGCCTGCAGTCAGAGACGTTAACAATCAACAATATCCAACACAGTACTACAAGAGGTCAATCGCGAGACCGAATAGCTCAGTGGTTTTGTTTCTGAATGCAGCCCCACTAGGTGACGCGGGTTCGAACCCCACTAGGGACTTGATTTCCTTCAAGGATGTAGACACGCCTTGCTGACCGGTGAGTGAGTTACAACTAGCACGCAACCTGGATCGAAGGCTTCAAAGCATCTAATAAATCAACAGTTCATTGGATCCACTAAATCAGCAACGATAGTAATATGACTGAATTAATAGTAAAATATATTTAAATAGAATTTAGTGCTGAAAATATTGTTCAGAACGACACCTGAAGAAATTAAACCATCCAACTTATTGAAAAAAACAAGAGGGCCAAAACTCTTCATCTGAGCTATATTTTCTTCTTCACTGTTTTAGCAATAAAGTATTTAAAAAAAAAGAATTAAAGATTCATTAACTACACTCATTAATCAATTTCATTTGCTCCATGGATCAGTGAAATTTAGACTTTCGCAATCATCAAATACCACATAAATATTTAGCTATTTTTATCTCAATGACAACTGTTTCAATTTATTAAAGAAACTATTTAAGTTTACCCTAGAAAAATAGGCTTTTAGTGTATTATTCATTAAAGTATATTTAGAGGTATAAAAGATATATATATATATATATATATTACATGACGATTGATGAATAAAATCCTGATCGATATACACACACCTTCCAAAGACAGATAGTGTTTGTTAGTGTAGGCTTTTTAATTGTGTATTCCAAAGAAAATCAGCAGATTAAAAATGTAATAGTTACTTTTGAATGATACGTGGAAATCTCCATGATATCGTATAAGCGCTGACAACATAATCCCCTTTGTTCTCAGTAAATCAGTTGTTGAGTGATGTATTTTTTTTCAATAAAGCAAGAACAACAGTGGTTTGTGCAGAATAATATGGTACCATCATTTATTTCGTTGGCTTCTCATCAGCTGCTGCTCTAAAGTCGAAATAAATTGTGAGGTCTACGTACAGATAAGTTTTAACATACTTGCAAATTTTTCATGAGGTCAGTTGACAGAAGGTTCCGCAATTAGTGAACAGTGCTCAGAAAATTACGTTTTTATAGTTTTTATACAAGCAGATTTACATATTCAGAAAGAAGCAGTTATTAGTCTTTCCTTGCCCTGGCAACTGGATTTCCTCAATTCTTTCTTTCATTTGATTACTTAATCTTTGGCCTTAACCTTACCCCTTTGACATAGTGTAATTTTGCTTGTCTCCTGTTTGAGTTGAAATCAGTACAGTGTTACCTTATATATTAGTCACTCAACATCTTACACATCTACCGCCTTTATTACGTAACTCCTTTACCACTGTATGCATGCATTTATTTTGCTTAAACTTGAACGGCCTGTGTAAAAAACTATATAAGCGCAATTTTTACTAATTGCGAAACTTTCTGTCGACTGAAATCATGAAAAATTTGCAAGTATGGTAAAACTTTTCTGTAGATGAACCTCATAATCTATTTAGGCTGTAAGCAGCAGCTGATGAGAAGCCAACGAAACAAACAATCATGGTACCATATTATTCTGCGCAAACTTCTGTTGTTCTTGCCTTATACAAATTCATCAAAAGGGAATAAATATATGAAGTATATATTGTTCTAAATGATGTTTATATTTATGGTTCCATCTAAACATCAAGCAGTCAAATGTAGAACAGTTCTGGGTTAAGTTAAACAGTATAATACTTAGCTGACAGCAATGCCTAGTTTAAAGGTTGCCCCAAGTTTTTGGTCAGAAATGAGTTCGTTTACGACTGCTTCTATAAACATATTTATTGGCATATGTGTACATAAGCTGATGATGACACTACCAATAGGGAATTTATAACATCAGTAGTGCTGGCATGCAGACAAGGAAATTCTGAAACCATCAGTGGAATTTCATCATGAACTGACATTAGTTAGAGAACCATTGGAAAACCTAGGAGTACTGGACAGCTGTTTCGTCCTAGTTTGGGTTTACCGAAAAGTCCCAAACTAGGACGAAACAGCTGTTCAGTACTCCCAGGTTTTCCAGTGGTTCTCTAACTAATGTCAGCTCATGATGAAATCCTGTTACCAATCAAATCCCTACAGACCAACACATTAGTGGAATTCCTGACAAGGTAACAAGAATAAAGGTGGCATTTTGAATCTACAAACGCAGACAAAACGTTATGTGGACTGAATGAATCCTATAGAGCCCAATAAAGAAATTAACTTAGTTTATCTAATACCCTGCGGTGATGTTTGGTTATCATTTTATTTATTTTATTCTTCTATGTTCCCAGTTGAACATAGGCATTCAGGCTAGAGGCTTAAAGTTTCAGTAGCAGTGGTGTTTATGTTTACAGGATAGGGGTTGGTAGTCTAATACCCAATCTTCCCTCTTTATCAGTCTTATTAGCAGCTTAATGCGGTAGAGGAGTGCGCTGGCCAAGAATCGAACCTCGAACGCATGCGTGGTCGGCAAGCATTCTACCGCTGTGCCGCTGACATATTTTTAGTTAAATTACATAGATCTAAATATTAGGCCACAGGTTCACTAGATTAGTGATGTAAAAAATCTTAACAAAATCTAGATTAGTTGACTCTAATAAGGAATGTATAAAAAAGCGCTTCATGCAGTTGCATACAACCGTAAAATAGGATTAGACACTATCGAAATTGAATATCACAGGTTGGAGAGAAAGAGAATGATAACTGAAGCCTCATCTATCGAATTAACCGACAATACATACAACAGAAATGAATAATTCAGCACCTGTCTCAGACACCTAGAAGTTCTACTTTTCATACGGAAAACGGTAAGGAAGAAAGAGGACTATAAAAGCAAGTTTCGAAATTGTGTAATTACAGCTGATGTGATGATGAACGATAGATTACGTTCAATACGTCATCCAGTAAACATCACTGTTTTACCGTGTGATATTATCCAATAAGCAAAATAGCATGGAGACTTAAGTCTGCAAAATATTCACTGTCTGTTTAGCTTGAATCCGTGTAAAATTGACCCTAACCTTATAACATAGTGGACGCCTGTCTATTATTCATGTACGTCCCGTAGGCGGCTTGCTTGAATCCCTGTGCTACTGGAATTGCTTTACAACAAATTGTTTAATTTCATCTGAATTTGTCATTATGTTAATCGTCTGGCTATAATATCAAAAAAGCCTTTAAATGGACTTTGGTGCTGATTTAACTTGCTTCCAAGTAGATGCTGTGCAATTCTTCAACGAAATGAAGATATCCTTTTAATTACTACTTTACATGAAATTCCTGTATGAAGAAAAAAGTATTTTAGAACTAAATAAGCAGAAAACTTTTGTGCCATATGTTTGCATATCGTCTGAAATAGAGCTTTATTATTATTTTAATTGAATTTTAGATTTTCCCGTCGAAGTGCTCGGTCTCACGTTGACATGTCGACATCTTGTTCAGATGCTTTGACGATGTCTGGGCATTTAATCAGAATTTAATTCCACTGCTAGTCACCATCCACCAGTTAAATTCTTTACTATTATTATTATTATTATTCTATCAACCTACTTTGGCTTTATGTTGTATCATCTATTTACGATTTGTGTTTTTGTTCCTTCATGTCAGTTTAATTTGGTTGATAGACTATGGATCATTTATGTACTGAAATATCCACTCCAGCAGACCCTCGTATTTTAAGGAAGCAGAATATATCTTAACACAACTCTTTTGTCATTACCTCATTAAATCTCACTTCCCAAAATTTTGTTTAAACAACCTACAACTTACTAGAAATTCCTACAGAAAAACCCAATAGTATAAATTTTTAGCATTTCAAACTTATGAACACTAATGATCGATTATTAATTGATAATCAATTGATAACCTTATGTTGGATTCATTATTAAGCATCACATGCCCTTATTACTACTCTCCAAGTGTGAATGATTCTCCAAAGATTCATATAATTTTTGCAGACCAATAAATAATATGGCATTAATGACACGGAAATATTTTTTTATTCAATGCTGAATAAGATGATAACAAAAGCAGTCAACATTGAAATAAATTATCTGTTTTTGCACAAACCTAATCGCGTGATACTACTAAATATACTACTTATTGACTGATTTGCGATCACTGAATGCTCTTTTTACCGCATTCCTTAGGCGTTGTGTTAAAATCTCACTGATGTTATCCCCGAGGAACTGAAGTTGTAAGAATAAGGTCTTTTTCAGAACTGATGGTATTTTGGCCTCCCTTCACTTTTGATTCATATTCTTATCAATGAATTTTTCTGAACAACTGTCCCTCACTCAGCAACTGCTTAATAATAATAGGCTCTTCATTAAAACATTCATCAGAGCAGATTGCTCTTACTCTAAGGACCAAGATCTTTTTGAGATTGAGTTTTTATTTCAAAGGTAGGAAGCTAAAAAAAATGAGTATACTGACCAGTTGATGCACATTTTCTGAGTACACTTCTTGTTGTACCGTCCTCTTTTCTAGTAATATTATTATATCCTTTAGTTCCTAGGGGCACATAGGGCTTCAGCTGCGCACCTCCATTGCCTTCTGTTTTCTGACAACTTTTTCACTCCGTTCCAAGTCTGCCCACATGCTTTCATCTCCTCTTCACACGACCTCCTCCAAGTCACCCTCACACTGACGACCAACTCGC